TACAACTAGCATGAGGCACAATTGCCACGTGTATCCGAGCCGTCACGGCAACGAGGCCACACAGCGTGACAATGCTGCAATCAGCCGCTGCGCGCTCGCCTCTATGACCCTTTAAGACGCAAAAGGTAAGCTTTTCGGCTATACATTTGCTCAGCAGGTTTATACTTATGAGACTTCGACGGGGCAAAACGGGCAGGCCTGCTTGCCTACCATCTTACTCGTAGCTGGTCACTTGCCAATAGAGTCACCGTCCGCCCCCTCATAGATAGTATGAGCTACTCGCCGTATCGATTCAACTCTTTCCAGCTTGTAATATCCTGTCACTTTATATCTTACAAAATCTTGTTAAAAAATCCCGGCACGGAGACTCCAACGCTCAGAGCACTTTGCTTGATACCTGTACATATTGCCGTGTCAGACTTGCTCCTTTTTCCTCAAACCTTGACCGACCTTTAAGTTACTACTGCTTCTCGAAGAGCTGGTTCCTTTGCGTGGTTGGGCCAGCGTAATCGCAGTCAGTGCCGTCCGAACCCTCTGCACGACACGTCGTCTGGCATCAGCAATCGCTGAATTGGAAGCCTCATCTGAAACAGGTGATCGGTTGTGATCCTGATAACGGAAGTCAGACTTTTAGCGAGAATGCACCGAGGAAGGAAGTACTGTCCATTGAAGACATAACCCGTCCGTCGTTCCGTGCTCTTGTCCCTTTCCTCGCGAGCCTACGAAATCGTCAGAACCCTGACCTTCAGGATCCGGAATGTCCAAAATCTTGAAACTTCCGAATCCTGAAGCTTCAAAACTATACCCACCGCCTCCTCGGTCGTCCATGTCTTTATTTTCCTTCTCCCCGCGGCCCTCGTTCCTAACTCCCAAAAGCTTCAAACTCGGTGACTTCCGAGCCTTAACCCGGACTTCAAAAACCCCGAAGCCTGAGAAACCTGAAATTGCACTGCACAAACCTGAGACTCCGAAACCTTGGAACCCCAAACTCCTGAGGCTCACCGACTCCGTCATCCATGCCATCATCGTCTTTATCCTCGCGCCCCTCAGGAATGACGCTCCGCCCGAGCCTCCCGGCGGCCAAGTCGCTGTGGATAGCATCCAACCGGTCCCCCATGTGGCGCATGCGCAGATCCAAGTTGCGGACGGCGCCCTGTCCGAAAAGGACCGGTCATCCCGCGAGTTCCGTACCGTTCGGTTTTAAAAATCAGAGGTAAGTCCTCTTGATTGATTCAATGGTAAGATGGTTGAAGCTTTCTAGACCGCACTGTCTGCTTCATGCGCAAGCGCCTTGGTGTCTGCAGAACAGCTTTTGAATTGAGACGACCGCAGCAACAGTCTGCTGACGGCGTCTTGTCCGAAAAGCTGCGACTAAGCAGGGAGTACTGCAGTTTGAAACGAAGGACTGTCTGCAAAAGCGGCAGCGTTCCCTCCCTGCGCAATATTGCAGAAGCCTTGCCCTTTCCGACGGTCGGTTTCCTTCGCGGACGGCGATCCAGACTGACAAGTGCTCTGCAGAATCGCATAATCTAACGACTTCTACATGAACTCAAATCACACGCAGTTTGACACTGCGGAAGGAACCGGGGTTAGGCAGGAGGATGTCCGAGGGACAGTCATGAAAGCGAGGTATAAGACTATTAAACGTCCTCGGCCATGTTGTTAGCGTCGTCCTGTTTGCAGAGCGGGAACCCGTTTCGTGACAATCGCACTAGCTTAAATTTCCGGAGTTCCAAGATGCAGACGGGAGTACAGCAAACGGACCCAGCTCAGAAAGAGACAAGCTTGAAGTTTAGATGGAAATTTTCGAAGCCTTCAAGGACTCTCATTTTGCCCGTCTAGACTCTCATTCTGCCCGTCTAGACTGCTGAACCAATCCCCAATTTGATACCGCCTCCAATACCAAGGAACCTTCAAGTACCCTGAGCTGCCTTTCGTCGGGCTTTACTTCCTTCAATTCTGCCATGCCTTCTGGGATCTTAAGCCCTAAAACGCAGCAGAGCCTTCGTATCTGGAGTTTTTTTTCGCTCATGTTCAGGCTTCCCGTCACCATGGCAGCCCATCCGCACTTGCATCTAACGCATGGCCCGGCATTGTCACTTTTGCTTCAGCCCGTGAGAATCCCAAGACTACAGGGTGCCTGAAGAATCATCGTTTCCTCTCAATCCTTGTGGAAGACCCTTCCACCCAGCAGCGTCACGGATCAAGACGTTCCGCAAATCTGTTCTGGCTTGTCTGACACTCGAAAGCCCTGAGGCTGAATCCTCTGAAAAGTCCAACCCTTGAACATACACCTTTTTAGGTTTACTCTCTTTGACCACAAAGGAAACCTTTAAGTGAGAAGCGGCGTTATGCGGCCCTCACCGTAAGTTCCAAAAGCCCCGCGTTCTTCTTGGGCTTCTTGGCATGCTTGACCTGCTTCTTCACGTGGTCCCCGTACTCGACCAGAATCTGCCTTGCGATTCGCTCCGGCCGGCCTGCCGGGTCGTCGTGGTCCTGCCAAAGCACAGTTTGGTTTTGAGGGCAGAATAAGCTTTCCCAAGTTTGAGGAGGAGTATCAGACGGGTAGTCTTGGTCCTGCCAAGACCGGACGCTTGACTTTCGAGTCTAATTCTCCTAGCACCGGGAAAGGAAGGGTTGGGCAAAAGCAAGGAAGGTTTAGGAGGAATCGGCCCACCAAGGAGCGAAGCTCAGGCCTCGTTTTGGTTCTTCTACACCAACCGCATCAGGTGGACTGCGAAACCCGTAATTGTGTCTAATCACACGTTACAAAAACGTGTAGCTGGATAGGAAAGCCGCGACGGGCGGTTGCCTCACACCCCAATAAGCTCTTCATCTGGGCACCTTGGATGCTTACAGAGCGGACACGCAATCTTTCTTTGTATCGGTTCTGTGTGAGGTCAGCCCCAAGAAGGACTGAACTGCTTCTGACTACGGCTTTCAAGAGAAAATTCGAGTTTCGAACCAGTCAAGCACCGTCACCTGGCACCGTCTCTCGAAGATGCTCTGGAGCGACTCGCCGTCGATGTTCTTGCCGCCTAGCTTGAGCACCAGCTCGCTCTCGTCCTTTGCCTCCTCCTCGTCGTGAGTGTCAACGTCCATACCCTGCAAGCAGTTGGTGAGGCTTTGACGCCAGATCGGCTGACGGTATTGGAGCCTCTTGTCAGTGTCAAAATCCTTGCATTTGCACCAAAGGTAATGCTGAACAGGTTGTTGGCTTTTGAGACCGGAGTGACCAGCAGGAACTTCAATTATACAGGACGTGAGTGGCTTTTGTTCTTGAGGAGTGTCCTGCACTTGAAACAGCGGAAGGACGTCCGGAAGGTGACGAACATTTCAGGCAACAAAAGAAACTCGGGCTCTTATGAAGATTCTCTCCTTGTAAGTGGGCAGCATGCGAAGAGCGACAGACCTGGAAGCGCTACCTTCTCTTCCCAGTGTCCGGAAGTTGACCAGCGGCAAACAATATGTCCCAAATAAAAACAGACGTAACCATGGAGCAACGAGCCGATGTTGGATTAACCACCAGAGGGTTTTCACTTCAGACAAGGTATGGCCGTTGCAGACCTGACTGAGAGCAGCAAACAGTGTCGCTCAAAGTAGCGAAAACTGTCAACATATGAACAGCGGTTGTTGTTTCCTGACTGTCACAGTCCCGGAGAAACAAGGTTCCCCTGTCGGGGGGACCGCACCAGGCCGGCCGCTCACCTTTCTGTCGCCGGCTTTGGTCGTGAGGCGCGCCTTCTGCCGCCAGACCTTGAGCTGCTTGAGCAACTTCTTCTGCGAGAGCCGCTTCTTGACGATCGACTGAACGTACCAGTACGCGTACTCGGCCAGTTCTTCCGGCATCGTTGGGGCGCTCTCGGTCTTCTCCTGCAAACACGACCAGCCCCCCGGTTTCTCATCAGTGCCATTCTTTCAGGAGTGTCTGCATCAGAGCGCGTCCCCCCAAAAGGCAAACTGGCGAAAGAAAGACCAGCACAATTAGCTATATGTCGTGGCAGAGTGTTGTGACCTCCTGCTTTTGTGGGCGACGGCCACACCGTGAGCTTCGGCTTCACGGGGGACCGGTCCTCCGACCCTCATTTTAAAAGGTTAGCAAAAAGCACGTGCATGTGACACAATCTCAGGACTTAAAGAGACCAGTGGAAGCAGAAGCCGTGCTGCATGAGGCGGGGCAACCAATTCGGGACCGGCGTTGTATTAAATCATAGCGCGTCGTGGTCAATCTGTCTGGTCCGTGATCAACGATAAAATGCGTCAGACTGCAAACAACAGCAGATGTCAACCATCCAGTTGTTCTGTACCAGATTCAGCGACGTCAAAGGTTTCCCAGCTGTAACCCTTCTAGCACCGCATTGTTGGAAACAGACTGACGCACTGACCTTGACATCCACAAAGGCGTCGACTGCGATAGCAATCCTGCAGACAAAAATGGCAAAATGTCAGCGCCTTTTCAGCGTGATTTTAGTGACTGTAAAGTGTTTGCTGAATCGACGAAGGAGCTAGTGCAGCCAGTCCACTTGCCACGTGTCCTCCACGTGCTTCACTACTGAGCGTTTCACAGGTTCTGTCTATCCAAAGCTTAAAAATTCATATGCCTAAGGACCAACGCGAAGCGACGACGAGAAGAGTCCCTCATGGCTGACATGTGCTGGCGCTCTCGGAATAACCAAGCACAAATCAGGAGACGAAACGGGATCAGGAGAGCGGAACGAGAAAGAGATGTTGATCTTCCGAGGTTCAGAGCGCTGATTGGAGCGACTTTGAAATTGCACATCTCAACAAAAGCAACAAGACATCAAGGGTCAGGGAAAAGAAGAAGGATTTAAGTGAAGGGTACTCACAGGAAGTTCATAATAATGAAGACGATGAACCAATTGAAGGTCCAGAAGAAGAACTGGCCGGCACCAAACTCCCAACCTTGAAGCGTCATCAGATCGTATTCAAACTGCATATTAACGAAGCAGTTTGTCAGGTCGGATCGATGCACCAATGATACCGGCCGCCTGTCAAATGTCCAGGAAAACACAAGGGCGACACTCGGCTAGCTGCAAGGTTACCGGCAGTGCTCAACATGACAGTGCCGGAAGAAGGGACATCCGGAAAGACTTCAACATCATTGAGCGGATTGGATTCCTGCTTGTGCCAACCCAACACGTTTTTGCATCACGCAAAGAGCGCAGAAGTGGTGGTAGCTTCTATGAAGGGCGACCTACCGATGTGTCTCCGAGGATCAAGAGGAAACAGGATGTGATGGACCATCCCAAGCTGCGGAACTGCGATGGAGAAAGCGGGAGGGCTCAGAGTTGAAAGATTTGCAAACGGAACCGTCAAGGTCTTTTGATTTCTAGCAAAAGTGAGGGAAGAGCTGACTGAATTTGGAAGTTTTTGCAAACAACCTCTGCACTTACAAATAGTGGCTAAAAAAAAGCTCGGAGACAAGAAGCCTGCGGCCGCGACGAGCGCGGATGCGGATACTATGACCAAGGATGCTCTGCAATTTTCTAGACAGCAGCAGGGTTAGCAGGCCAGAAAAAGACGTCTTCGGACCCTCTGATCCTTTCCGTCCAAAGACAAGACACCCTATAGAACCACCGGAAGCATCTCTGCAGACGCAAACAAACGGGTGGATGGTCCGGGTATTGATGGAGCGTCCAATGAGGAGAGTATACTCAAGGGATGCTCTGCGTTCCTTTAATATAGGAGCCGGGTTTTGCAGAGCAGAGATAAACGTCTCCAGACCCTCAATCATTGACATTCCCGACACAGGACGAAGCACTGGACGCCTTCTCCGGACCCAAAAAAACGAGCAGACGCTCACGAAGTCGATATGGCCTCCGATGAGGAGCAGACCTTCGAGGGATTTCAACGCACGGCACCCATTTCAGAAGAATTGAATCTTTCTCGGACGTAGAGCAGCGGGCGGACGCTCACGAAGTCGACAGAGCGTCCGAAGACGAGGTGGCCCATGAAGGAGTAGCCCACGAAGACGATGGTCCACAGGATGAAGAAGTTAAGGATGTCGGGCCCCGCCTCCACCAGCGTGCGCGTCAGCACGCCCATGCGCGGCTGGAAGTGCATGTGCTTCAGGATGCGCAGGATCATGAAGAAGATGCTGCAGGTATTGGAGAGAGAGCTTGTTTGACGGCTCCGTTAACAGTTAGAACGAGAGGTTTGAAGCTCGAGAATAGGTAAGTATTTGCTTCAGGATACGTAGGATCGTGAAGAAGATGCTGCAGGGAACGGGGCAACAGCCTGTTTCACGGCTCCATTGACAGTTAAAATGGAGGTTTTGGAGCTGGAGACTAGGTGAATCTGTTCTTCACGATGCGCAGGATTATGGAAGCGATACGAGGTGCACAGCTGATATAGGGTGTGATTGCTTGGCCTTTCTTGTTTACACTCAGATACTGACGAGTGCAAACCTCAGGATGTGGGGGTTTCAAGAGATGATGTGGGAAACGGGGAGAGGTTTCCATAGGCGGCTCTGTTGGCAGCAAAACAAAGAAGTTTAGAGCTCATGAGAAGGTGGGTATGTGCTTCAGGACAGCGCAGGACCTTGAGGAAGGTGCTGCATGCGGAAACAAGGAAAGCGCTGATCTGACGTCTCGAATGGATCATTGCCAACGCCTCAACAATCAACAGGCTCCATGTAAATCGCCGCTCACTTGATCCCGTTGATGCCCGCGTATACGGCGTCGTACGAGATGAGGTAGTGGACCTTCTCGAGGAGAAGCGTGAAGTCGTGCAGCTCGGAGCCGTCCTTCTTGAGCTGGAAGAAGCGCGCCGTCTGCGTCAGGCTCTCGTAGATCTCGTAGCGCGCGCGCGCGTGGAACGTGGGCGCCAGAGATGCCACGAAGATGACTCTGCAAACGAGAATCAGACAACTGATGACGTCAAATGGCCCTTGCTACAAAAATCAATAATGCTAGAGGTGCGCCTCAGGCGCTCATAGACTTCGTGAGCGCGCGTGCCCACGGGATGTTGGCGCCAAATCTTCGACGAACGTGACTTTGTGAGGACAGAAGGGATGCGGAAGGTTCGTCGAGAAAGAAAAGAGGAGGAAATTCGTTGGCGATAAAAGTCGGCAAAGGGCTGTTCTGATCACAGCCTACTGCGAAGATCGCAGAACGATGTGCCGGAACTCAGAAAGTTGTTCGCTGAGCAGAACTGCGCGTGATTAACAGGAACATCGCACAAACGAGAAAAACGATATATGCGATGGCAAAGAACGGAGAAGCACCACGCATGCCGGCGTGATGAAGGTGACAGACGGGAAATCGAGCAGGCTATCCGCGTCCAAAATCCTGAACGTCTCAATTCGTTGCAACAGCACTCCGTGGCACGATTTGGACCGGCTGCTCCCAAGAGACGCTACGGGGATTCCTGATTTGCTTTTGCATCACTCTGAACGTCGCTGGTTTCAAGGAAAATCCCAAAGTGCATCATCGAGATACGCTAGAGTCAGCGCATCAAACAGAACGTTGCTGGTTTGAAGAAAGCATCCCAAAGTGCATCATCGGGATACGTCAGAGTCAGCCAATCTCTCAATTCAGAGACACACAAAAGATACACAGGGGACGCGCAACTAGCACAGAGTTCTGCCAAGCTCGACATACGCGCGGCAACAAATCTCCCGAAGCGTGGTAATGCACTGGCACCCAAGCGCGGAAAGACAAGGCTCACCTCATAACGACGGCCGTCACGAGCAGCGTGAGCGATGCCAGGTCGATGTAGTTCCACGCCTTCGCAAAGTAGGGCCAGAAGGTGCCCTTCTTGCGCCGAATCGTTATCGCTTCCAGAATCTCCTTGTAGGCCCCAAAAAAGATGGAGCACGCCACGATAATCTCCAGGCACGCCAGGAAGTAGTCAACCGGCCGCCGGTAGGGCTGCACGTCAGTAGTACCGATATTGGGTTGAGATACACCCAGGTTGAGATGGGTCAGTGCCCGGGGACCGCTTCGGGTTAATCTGGAGGTATCGGTTACCGGGTGAGGGTAAGGAGCGGGTGGCCTTGTTTCTTGGCTTTCGGGTCAGTCCGTCCTCCCGGTTCCCAATTTGTACGGGGCTCATTAACCGGGCTCATTAAGCGGACCTGAGAATGGGGCCTGACCTGCACGTTTACTCCGTTGATGTTGGTGTTGACCGCAATCTTGCCCGCGCGCTGGAAGGTCAGCCGGACCTCCGTGCTTACGAAGAAGTGGCTGTCGCCTGGAAGACGGGACGGAGTGAGGAGGGGTCTAAGGTCTTGTTGTCGCAAGAGGCGGGACACCAGTACAGAAGGAGAGATTCTAGGATTCAGCGGCTGGTGCCTGTTGGGGTGCAGGTGAATCAGGGGGGAGACCACATGCAATGGCTCTCTTGGGGGAGTGGAAGACAGATGAGTTTCGCAGAACTCTGAAAAGTATGTCAATCAGAGAGTGATCTCTTTTTGGACCTTGCTCTGCTCGAGCCTCTCTTGGAAGAAAGCTGAGAAGGATCCGATGCTGCTAGCGCTTGACAGAGCATCATGACCCATTGGATAAGAGGGTCGGAGCAATGAATGTTGGTTTGCATGGCAGATTGTACCGTATAGGGGAATACCTCCTTCACAGAAACACCGGCAGCCTTGTGCAAGAGGAGATTGAGAAGTTGGCAGCCCGTACCACAAAGAGGACCACAAAGGTACAAGTTTGGAAGGCATGCAAAAAGCAGAGCGCTCGAGTAAACAGTCGAACACCGAGATGAGCGACAGAGCCTTAGACGGGTCCGAGTCGGCAGACTTTCAGAACTACTACAGCGAGTGCGTCTCCTGCTAGTGTGCCAGCTCACCATTGTAGGTGACCAAGTGCAACAGAAGGGTATCGGTGGCGTTATCCAGGAACAGCCCGTCTACCAGCATTTGCAACCGGGCCTGCGCCCCGGCTTGGTCTAGGTTGATGTCGAAGACCACAGGGAAGCCCGGGTCGCCTGACCCAGAGTCCTCGCTGTAAAAGCCCATGGGAACCCCGAGGGCGGTGACCTCTTCCGGGGTGTAGTAGTCACCAATTTTGGCGACCTGACTTGGGTTGAAGAGGGATGACAGCGGCACGAAGACTGGGTCCACGCCGAAGGGCGCAATGCTCTCGCCTTTGGTGCAGTATTGGAAGAGGCTCAGGAATCTGCGTCGAAAAGTGGTACATGGGGGGCGGGTCAGGTAGGGTCCAACGAGAGTAGAATATGGTGAGGGAGTCTTCATTTGGACCCGACGGGGCTTGGAACATCAAATGAAACGGGAGATATTCTAGGGAGGGGCGAGAAAAGTGTGTGGCCGGGAAGGAGGGTGTTGTTCAGGCAAATCGAAGAGGCCGAACGTGGTTGCGGAAGAGGAGCGTGTCCGGCAGTATTTGACTTCAGAGGTGGGAGGTTATGCGGAGGGAAGACGGCGTTCAAGCAGGGGTCAAAAGAAGGACGACATTCACGGTAGCTGTATTCAGGAGTCGACAACTAGGGACGGCGCAACGAAACAGGATCAAGGAATGTGGTGGAATTCAATTGATGCGAGATTTCTTGAGGATAGAAAGGTTTTGGAAAGTCAGAGCAACTCGAATGAGCATGAAGCGGTCATGGCTCGGCAGGCTTTTCGAGACATCTTGTCGGTTGAGGTTGGACAAGCGGAGATACCTTTTTACCGAGGAGCGCGAATCAGGGGCCAAAATTGGTCTGTGTACATCTAATTGATCTTGATACCGAGTAGATCTAATGCGAACAATCAGGCGCTGGGAACGAAGAATTGCTTAGAAGTCTCCTTGAACTTATCGCGATAGCGAAAGAAGGGCAAAAGTCGAATCAGGATCTAGTGAAGAGTTTACCGTTTGTCATTGCACAGCTCTCCTCCGAATCGTTTCTGCCTCATGTATAGGCCGCCAATTATCCTGCAGACATTATTGAGAGCACTTTGCATTCGAATCAAACAAGGTAGAAGAAAGATATTGCCTGAGGCTTCCACTTTCAAATGAGACAAAGGTGTCACTGAGGAGAAGCGACCTTCCCAAGTTACATTCATGGGGACGAACTGCAAGATTGTAGAAGCTTTCGTTCAGCCCAAAAAAGGCCAGGAGCCTTTTGAGTTCGTTGAGCGGAAAAGAAACAGGGCACCTGAGTACAGGGAGGAAGCCGGGATCATTGTGCACCTGTTGTGATTGGTCGCGTAGCGGGTCCTTGTGGAGTTGCTGGGGTCGAAGGGAGACTCCCGGTCGTTCAGAATAGCAACTTCAAAGGTCGCATGGAAATCCTGGCCGATCGCTTCCGCTTGGCAGCACTCTGCAGGGTATGAAAAGGGCGCTTAAACTGCGCGAACTGAGTGAGAAAGGTTAAACCGAAGAAGCAAAAGTCTTTGCGCAAATCCGTAGAAGACTGTCTGGAACCTTGGGAATGCCTCAAGTTGCACAGACTGAGCTCTCGAAGCATCACGGTAATGGAGGCGTGTATGATATCTTGACTTGCCGTTGTATACGTAAACTCTACGGTCAGAGAGTAGATGGACTGGAAGTTAGGTAGGATTGCTTCCTCGAAAGGCAACATCTTGAGAGGGAACGACTTTTGCAGCGTGAGCGTTTTGTCGGACATTTAGCCGTATCCGATCCTTTTCGATCCCGCACTTGATTCTTGTCATAAAATCACATTGAGGAGGCGGAGAAGGCAGACGCACCGCCGGCGTCGCTCCTGATCTGTCCGGGGGGACACTTGCACAGATTGTTGGTTCCGCTTCCAGTGGAGGTGGTCGCCAGCACGGTCGCAGGATCCGGGCAGGAGCAGTCCCCGCCGTCGAAAGCGCAAACCACAGAATTGCAGCCGCGGCTGGCGCCACAGCGACCGTTGTTCAGCAAGCGGACAGCACACCCGGGCGCGCACTCGCGCTGGTCCTCAGGTGTCACCGTGCCTGCGTTGTTGTTCGAACCGTCAGATAATCTTTAGGACTAAAGGTTTCTTGCTCAATTCCTGTCGCTTTCTGATTTACAGGCGCAGATACTTGGGGAGCGATCGGAGCAGAAGAAGCTTGCAGCCATGCGAGTGGAAGTGCCTGAAAGCAACGCAGACCGGGCTTGAACCCAGTCACAGGAGCTGCTAAACAAACACTGACGTCGTCGCCCTTATTTTGCATGGCAAGACCTGTTATACTTCTCATAAGCTGTCAAGATTCGAGCGGGCTGTAGTCAAAGCGAGCTACGAAAGATTAGCGCCACTACCATTTGGATATTGCAAATGTGGAACCGATTACTGGCACGGACATGCGATCCGACTGAAGGTTGCGTCCCTGCAAATCCGAGCTACTTACGAGGAAGACCGCCGTCCGCTGGCGTCACGTACACCGTTCCAGACATCGAAGATCCGTAGCGGGCGTCCTGGTACTGGTATACACCAGGCTCCGTGAATACTTGCGCGACAGAAAAGGCTGATGTCGCCGTTTGAGCTGCAAGAGACAAAGATTACGGGAGTTCGATGCTCAAATGGAAAGACAGATCTTCCCTTGGAGGTGAATATGCATGACACAACCTCAGGCTCGTGTCCTGTTGAAGAGAGAGCGGAAGCAACTTGAAGAGGGGTCAGCACCTTTCAACCAGAGTCCGACAATCAAATCCAATGGTGAATTGTATGTGGTATATTTGAAGCCACTTGGATGTCACCATGAGAGGGTCTGAGGAGTGATAGTGGACGTCAATCTGATCGCAGGTCGAAGCGCAGTTACAGGTCCTTTTATCGAGTCCCATAAAGCATCACAAAAGCAATAAATCACCCCCCGTCTGCCTCATCGAGGAGAGGAAACCCATGAGAGTGGTATCATTCAGGCTGTCAGTAGCTCTCAAGTTGACATCTGACTGCTCGAGTTCGAGCTGCTCTGACCATGTAGACTATCAAGCGTAAGTTGAACAAGCTGTACACAAATGCCGTCTGAGCTAGGTCCCTTCCAGATATCCCCTCGCCTGCTTTGAGAACGTTGTTAGACCGAACAATGCATGGCACAGGGTCCGACAAGAAGCTGCCGTTCTCTCCAGCTCCAACAGTTTCGGGGCTGCATATGCTGTCAGTCGAGATGATACGACGGCCAGTTCCGAATCCGTTGAAGATGTCTGCAGAGTCTTGCATGTTCAGGCCTGCAGAAAGCGAGGCTTCAGCAAGACTAGAGATATTCGCAGAGTGCAAGGATTAAGCTTTGGATACAGCCCTTGATACGTCCCTCGAGATCGGAAGAGGTTCTGAGTGGGGATACATCAGCTTTATCACACCTTCCTTTAGCTGGATCTTATCTCAACGAAGCACTCTGGCAATCAGGGTGGAAGTCACTGCGGGAGCAAACCCTGGGGACTGCTATCAAGCATGCAGGGCCATAAAGAAGGTCTGTACGCTGCTTTTTGACTGCAACCTGAGAGCATACCAACCTTGCAGCAACTGGATAAGTATCTTCGTTCTGACCTGCAGTGCATTTGGAGACGAATACATGGGAAAGGCATACAGCTTGCCTTGGACAGCGTGTGGCAAAGCGTCGGCCCAGACAAACTGGATGGAATCACCCGCGGTGATGTTTGTGACATAGTGCACGTCCAGCTTCCATGGCAGCACAACGTTGACTGCAACGAACAAACACATTTGCTGCCCTCAGTCTAGTGGCCTTCTGTGCTTCGAAAGATAACAAGAAAGTGTGCAAAGCTGGAGTCCCCAATGACTTGCCCATGCGGCAGCCGTCTTAGCAGCCGTCCTTTCAGCCTTAAGTAGAGAGCGTATTGCTGCACACAAAGGATCGATCTAAACATGGGAAACTGAGTCTTCAGCTAAGACGAGGCTGTAAAATGAACCTTACGCAAGATTGAAACGCGGGTCAGACATTTTCGGTGTTACAACAATCCAGCAGCACCTACCTCCAATTCAGGTATGCAACACATCTGGTCCTCGTTCAGGAGACAGAGGATGCAACCTAGACTGAGCCAAAACGCGCGCTCACCACGATTGCAGTTGTTGACTTCCAGCTGAATAATCTGAGCGTCCGTCTCGTGCAGGTGATTCCCAACGTTGACGAGGTCCGCGTCGCTCAACGTGAACCCAATGGTTTCGTAGAGAGCGTTTACCAGGATCGCAAGGAAGCGGATCTGCTCTGGCTGAGAGATGTTGTAGGGACTGCCCACGCCATATCTTCTTTCCAGAACAGCCTGCACACGTTCGAAAATTTTTGCGAAAGAAAAAAGGCTTTGGGAGACTTTCAGGAAGAAGGCACAAATTGAGAGGGTGTCAATCGAAAATCAATTATTTCTCAACTTGATTTAGCTCCCCAGCATTCAAGCCGAAACCAAGGCTTGTCCTGGACATGAGAGTGTCTAAAGGTGAGACAGAGTCTGCTGGTCCCAGTCGTGACTCCGGCTTCGACTCTCAATCAGACGACTGAAATTGTAAACAGCATGGACGATCCTGAGACCTTTTGACAAGGCTCTCACGGGAGTCAAGAACAAGCAATGAAGGCAATTCTTTTGAAAGACGTGAAGCACAAGCAGACGAACGGTTTGACAGATTTATGAGGACCTGAGGGAAATCTTGCAGTGCAAAGCCATGCTTTCCAAAAACCCTGGGATTTGGGTGCCAAGCCCGCATCATGGCAACATCAAGAAACTTTTGTCAGCATCTAACCACACAATCCTCACATGCAGAGCATCCACGTCAGCAGACGTCAGCGTCGTGTTGGTCACCAGGTCCGTGTAGGAGCACCCCGGCAGCGTAGCAGGGCCCCCAAAGTAGGCGCAGAAGAAGCCGAGCATCTTAGGCCCGGTTGTGGCGGGGGGCATATAATACTTAGCCAGGCACGAGTCAATAATCCAAGTATTGAGGGCTCTCGACAGGGCCGTGGCCAAATTGCGGAAGCGTTGGATGTCCCCGTCGCCAAACTGCTGCCAATAGAGCTCGGTTCCGTTTCCGGCCTGGGATAGGCGCCGGCCGGAAGTCGTGAGGCGGCGACGGCCTCCTGTGAGGTCGGTGCCCTTGACGGGCGCTTGTGAGTGCGCAGGAAGCACGGCCGCCTGGTCAAGATTTGCGGCGACGTAGATGGGGTCGACTGCCAGGAGAACCGGAGGTGTTTCAGTGATATTTGCCATGATCCGGATCATTGTTCGACCTTTACAGCAAGCTTCTTATTGTGTGGAACATCAGCTTACCAAGCCAGGCGCTTCGGAACTTCGAGGCTGAGCCTCCCATTGCAAAGGCCTTTTTCAAACCTAGTCGGTATGCTTCCGAGACGCGCAACCCAGCGACTGCAGAGGCCAAAAGATGCAAGAGAAAGATCGGCCTCTGATGCAGATTTACTTCGAGACGGAGATGCGACTCAGGTATTAGAGCCTCAAGCAGCAAAACAGGCATGCGCATAGAACAAAGCACCGTTCCTAAGAGAGGGACGCTCGAAGTTCGACCTGACTACAGTAAGAAATTCTCGAATCTTGATCTGTCTGGTAACTAGGGTCAAGCCAAGGAGCATAACACGTCGTACTCTCTAAGCTTTCTCATGGGTGCGTCCGCTCAAGATTGGAGTTAATTGCATTTAGAATAAAGTGCATTGCTTGTAAGGATACTGTGGCCGAAACTTACGAGTGCAAGTATTGCCGCTGGTCCTGAGAAAAGAGTCGTGATTGCTGCTGTTGGCAAGGGACACGATCTGGATACAGACGAGCACGAGCTCTCCATCAGCATTCACTCGTGGGAACAAATGGGAATACAGTAGTGAGAGCTGGCTAGGAGACAAACAATTGTCGACAACCTTGTCTGAACAAACACTAAATGCGAAGCTAGGCAACATTTGCGACTTTGGCATGCATCAAAATGAAGGAGATATTGTGCCGCGGAAGACTTGGGAAAGGAAGGTATCAAAATGCGTCTGCAATTTTTGGAGAAGCTGCATGGCGCCTTGATCAACAAAACGACGGCGCTTCCAAATTCCAAGACAAGTCTGGATGTCGAGCGACCAAACACTTAGACTGGCAACAGTCTTAAAAGACTCGGTGCTTCGTCCGAGAGATGCGGCGACGTAAAGGAGGCACCCTTGACAAGTCGGGGCGTAACCAATATTGCGAAGGGTTTAAGGGAGGGGTAAAAAGTTGCGCTTCTCACTTGGAGACAATTTAGGTTCTGGTAAGGGTCCAAGGCCGTGACGTTTGCGTTGCAGAGCCCAGTGCAGTCAACGAAGAGGCCCGCCAAGGAGCGGTCCTCGACATTCGAACAGGCGTCCACAGCACAACCGACGCTCTTTGCGCAGATCTGCAGTTGGAAGTAGGAGACGATCTGAAGAAGGCGGAACTCGAAGGGGGACGTCGTTCAGCCTGCTCTTTCGTTGGATTAGCACCTTCAAAGCTTGAGGGCATGCTTAGCTGCTGTGCGCTCAAAAGGCTGGAGGCAGGCACAAGGACGAAGAGTTCCGACAGTCGGAGACGCCCACTTTGCGCATTGGAGCCCCAATATGAACGACCGCAGCGCGCCATCATGCTCCGCCCGCTTCGATTCCCAAAAAAGGTTTGATCCATTATGAACTCTTCTGTAGTAAATTGACCTTCACTTGATGTTTCAGATTCGATCAGAGCGCCCAAGTGCAGAAACCAGCTTGCAACCAACAATGAAATGCGTCAGCAAGACTTGGAAAGCCTAGGAGGACACCAAAATGTGGACCCGTTTTGTACAATTTCGACTTACCGAGCGGCAGCGGACCAGGTCCGACTCCGCGTCCGGCTTACAGGTGCCCCAGCTCGACAACTTGATATCTTGAGCTGCGCCAAGCGGGTCAACAATTTGTGTGGTCGCCTTTCCTGACACACCGTTACCCGGGGCCGTCAGGCGGACCTCCCAAGTGCCATTGGGGAGGTTCAAGGTCGTCTCGTACGCCCCTGACCGGTCGGCAAACTTCTGGTTGGTGTCAAACCTGCGGGAGAGGATCCATGCCGCATTCCCTGATGTTATTGGGGAGTCGGCTCAACTAGAAAGGACTGCTGTTTGGCATGGAATTAGTACGAAGGTGTCTGCAAATCCAGAGATTGCGAGCAAGTTCTGGTGAGCTGCGAATGCTTGGTTTACCGCATCAAAGCAAGCCGCTAAGCCCTCATTATGTGCTGTTGGTGTGCTTTAGTGTACCTCTTCCCAGCTCCTTGGATGGATTACGGAAACACAAAATCGGGCAGGCAACTTCACCCTGATACATTGACCAGGCTCTACAGGATCGGACCTCTCTCTGCTTGCTTTGACACCTCGACCGCCTTGAACACTGCAAACGGTCGACCGCTCACCGAAGCTCCGCTGCAAACGCCCTTCTGTTTTTCAAACCTCCTGCTTTTACATGCATGGTCAACGACTGCCACAACAATCCGATGTTAACCAGTTCCGTCCCCATATATTTCCATACAAAAGGCAGCTTACCAGCACAGGTGGTCCGGAGACGTCATGCACATGTTCCAGTCCGCGTCGGCCTGATCCCGCGCGGTCTTGAAATCGGTCTCAAACGAGACTGTCACCGGCACAGTTTCCATCGATCCGCAGTCGGGGGTACACCCAAAACGCCCAAATCCATTAAATTCAATTGGGCGGTCGCAGACTCCATCGCCGCACACTGGGTCCGCCCAGATGGTGGTGACAAACGTGTCGTTGATGTATGCGTAGAAGTCGTTGGCATACGTGAAGCTGCTGCCCTGAAGAGGAACCAGGTACATCAGACGTTTCAGCTAAATCGGGGTCTTGACACTTCTTCTGGGCTGCGGGGCTTGCAAGTTGTGTGTTTGCTGCACTGGTGCCAAGGACTCATTGGTTGCCAATCTCACCCGATGTCTTTATTTGCTGCAACTAATCAGGTGCTGACCAGTAGTCTCTACTTTACTGTCTGGTCCGTGAACAAACTCGGTATCCCACCCTCGTCACTTTGCCTTCAAACTGATTCCAAAACGAACACCGAGAACCATTCCCTTCAGAAATACCGCCAGCAACATGGTCTGCTCATCCAAGTCTTTCCCTTCATCCACCCCTTTCATGCATCCCAGACACTAGACATAGCCTGCGTCTCAAATCTGTGCTGCTGAACAGGAGGATGCCCATTGTATAGTTGCCCAAGACTCCAATAGCAGAGACGCTCGTTTCCTGTTCCATAGCTCTCTTGTTTCTGACGCAAGAGTCCATCAGGTCGAATCTGCCATTCAAGGCATTAAGTAGAGCAACTGAGAGTTTCAAAACCCTCACTCTGACTGCGCTGGCATAAACTGAAGGGACTACCCAACATCATTCCTGCAGTCGTGTCCACATCAAGCAATCATGAGTGCAAAACCAGCCCACCCGACACCAATCTAGATACCAGCCCGATCAACGGTCTAGCGCTATTGCGCAGAAGGTGACCTTTTACTATGTAATATCTCAACACCTCGCGCTTCAATAATCCCTACGCAGAAAGTGTGACAGGAAGCAAGACTGCAGGGTTACAAAACATGAAGGCCGTTTGAGAATGAGCCAGCAGGGTTTCGCACCTCTGGTAAAATTGCAGAGCTGGCCTTCGTCAGTTGGTACACGAGCGCACTGTTCTGTTGCATGTACAGGACAGTCATGTACAGGGCCGTAAAGACGAGGAAGGACAGCAGGTTGCAATAGTGCGTCTGCCGCTGTTTGGCCTCCTTGATGATGTCATAGACGCTTGAGACAACTGATCGATCCTGTCTGCGAGCATAAAGGAGGGGAGCTCAATTGAGGTCAGTTACACAAGACAGAAGCTCTGCCAGTGCACATTAATGCAGCGTTTGCAGATCATTCTTTCCAAGTTTCTTGCTTCAGAAAAAAGCTTGTAAAGAGAAGCTTGTAAGTGGGGTTGAAAGGGAGTGGCCTTCTGGACTGGGCTTGAAACTGTAAACACTTGGCCATCAAAGACTCACGCCTTTCATGGCACTGCCAACCCTCAAATGGGGGTTTGATATTGGAGATTTGTTTCTCGTTCCCTCCTCACTGCGTTCGTGTAAGCCAAATGACCTTTATTCTTCTGCTTTCAGCGTTGGCACATCTACCTGGGTGCGCGGGATCCCAAGGGTGCTTATCACCACTGGCCACACACCGACTTGTTGCTCCGGTGCGCAGTGGAATCGAAGCGCTCAGATGACAGAAGGCTCAGAACAGAATTGTGCACATTGTGTGAGTATATCTCCAAGGCTCAGCAGATACTTGCATTAATGGGTCACCCAGAAGGTTTTACACAAAAGCTCTGTGTTAACCAAGCAATCAATTCTTTGCCCCTGGAGAGGCAAGGCCAAAGCTAAGAGCAGACGAGCTAAGTCTTTTGGTGCACCAGCTAGGAGGCCGATGCAATGGCAGTCATGGACAATAACCGCATTCCCCTCTCTTGTGTAGCCTCGCTAAAGAGGCCCCACAGAGGAAGCCACAACCACACAAAAAACCGCCACAAGCGTCTGCTACTTACAAGATTGATCACTCAGACATTGTGTCACATTCCTCTCAACCTCAAAAGCTGCCAGGTCAAGGCTCCCTTCCTCATGATGAACCCTTACCACCCTTTGACCGACGGTCTAGAAATCCAGGGTTAACACCACGTTCATACTTCAGAAAAAGACGCAGAAGACAAAAACGCAGGAAGTTTAAGGGCGTAACTTCATGTTGATACCAGCACCTCCGGCAACGACAGTCTCTTGTGCTGGATCCAGGTTTCTCATGCCCCTGTTACAACCCTCACCATCGGGCTGAAAACCTGCTCTCTCTCTTCTTCCACTAAGCCCAGCACCCCAACCTGGGCCGCAAAACTCCTGTCCCCAATGGTCCTGAAGACAGGAGCGCCCAAATGCCGCCCGGTATGTAAGCAGGCTCCCTGCTCCAAGCATCCAAAAAGTAAGCTGCAAAGGCAACATACTAAGATTGTGACGCTTGACATGGCTCACTCTTCCACAGCGTCAAGGCCATCCTCCAAGCCCAGCTGTCCATAGGGGAACTCTGCATCCGAGGTGTCTGACACTAGGCCTGCTGGTGGGCGTGCCGCTGGAGGCCTCCTGCCGTTGCTGAATGAGGGGAGCTCGGGGGCAGCTTCGCCCTGCTTGGTGGCAAGCCTGGCCTCCTCTTCCCTCCGCTTCTGCTTCTTTTTTCTTTTCAAAACGACAATCTGCGTCGCCATCTTGTCTGCACTGTCAACCAGTCCAAAGACAGCCCAGAAAGACACTTGGATTGATTAATTTGTCAGAGCTTGGAAAGCTACATGATATTTAGTAGGTATCCATGTTCTGCTTCAGATTCATATCAGTAGGCTGACAAGGGTGCTCATGGTTAGCCCATAGCTACTCGCAAACAAGAACCACTGCGCTTCAACGCAGCTGAATCGGAGCTAGGGAACGGATTTGTGCAACCTGCGCTGCTGAAATTGATGTGCACATTCGGACACAGATGTCCACCGAATGTTGAGCAGTGACATCACACATTTAAGTGACCAGCGTGATCGACTGAAAGAAGGGTTTCTGCGCAGTGATCTTGCCAATCCGTACTCTCCGGCAATGATTCCGAATACATGAATAACTTTAATATCTGCATTCGGAAAGTCAGAATATCGGATTTGGCATTCGGAAAGCGCAAATTCGGAACCGAAGTTGAAAGTCGAAAAACCGCCAAAATCAGCCTTAAACGTTTAAAGTCTGGGGGGTCTGTGCCCGGTAGGTAGAATCGGGTTTGAGATTCCGCCGAGTGCGGCGCGAGTGAAATCGTTACGGGTTGCTGTGTAACCGAGGTCTAACCTGGTCCAAAATCCGGCCCGCGAGTGTTTTCAGAGTCAAAATCAATGTTGTCAGGGGGAGCCATCGGACGGTGGAGAAAATTCCGGAGGCTTCCCCTGGGCCGTCAGATTCTACCACTCTCACCAACGCCTAATAGGCTTGGAGAAATGCCCCGTACCCATAACTTGACGAAGCGTCTGTTGAGAAATCATCAAAGGAAAGCGGTTTGCTGGGAATCAATTCCGTTTGACCGTTAAATTGCGGCAAAAACTGCGCCCACCATTCCAGGTCTAATCGTATGCTAGCGGACACACGTGTATGATGATGTGGGCGCTGTATGCTCCATTGAGCATCAATTAGGCGTCGCAAAAATGTGCGACCCCCATGAACGACCTTACAGACCCAA